CTCTTCTCCCTGTGTCTCTTTCTCCTTTCTATTCGCCTAAGCCATTTTACCGCTTCTTTCCTGCCTTCTTCACTCGGTATCTCTTCCAGACTTGCATTTGTTGTCTCCATCTCTCTACAGTCTCTCCAATGCTCTAATGTCCCCTCCCCATCCTCGCACAATTGACATTTCCGTTCTTCTTCGCTCGTCCAAAATTTACTTCCATTTTCTAGGGTGCTGCATCTTGCTCTAGTTATCATCTTCTGCTCTCCATTTTTCTTTCTCTCCTTCAGGTATTTTGGTAATTCTTCTGTTACCAGATATTTATACTTCCAATTGTATCTCGTCTTCTGAATTTTGTTCCACTGCCTTTGTCTTTACATTTCCTCTTTTCTTTTCCTTAGTAATTTCTCAGCTGGTTTCTCTTCTCTCCACAATTGTTCTACTCCTATCTGGTTAAAATTGCATGTTTTGAGGTGATCTTGTCTTTCCTTTATTCTTTCTTGGTTCTCTTTTCCTGCTTTCCTTCTTTTATGCATTCTTTGACTATTCCTTTCTCTCTTTCTTTTTCTATTCTTCTTTCATATTTTATCGCTCTTTTTGCCAATCTAATCTTCAGTTTTTCTCTTTTCGTTTCCTCCATGATAATATAGTTTGGTGTCCTGATGTCCAGACCAAGCGTCCATTTAATATATTTTCTCTGTATTCTCTCTAATTCCGCTTTTTCCGTCCATCCCCATACTTCTGCTCCATAGGCCAGGATTCCCATTACTAGAGTGTCGAATATCTTCATCCTCCTCCCATAATTGTCTAAACATTCTCTCTCCTATTCCCCATGCATGTATCATTACCACGTTCGCTTTCTTTGCCACATACTTACCGTTACTCTTAAGTCGGTACCCCAGATATGTGAATTCTGTAACCTGTTCTATTGCCTTACGTTTCCAATACCATGTCTCTTTCTTTTTCCTCCCCCCCTCCTTTCCCAAACACCATCATCTTAGAGTTGCTCTCATTTAGTACCAGCTTTTTCCTGTCTAGATATTTCTCCAGCCTTCTCATCATTTCCTTCATCTCTTTTTTTTCGTTTGCCAGTAGAACTATGTCGTCTACGTATAAGAGTGTCCAAAACTTTTTTTTCCTTACCTCCTACCTCCCATTCTTGTCCCTTTTTGAACTCTTCTTCTATGTCCGCTATGAAAATTGTAAATAATGTGGGGCTGAGTGGATAACCCTGTCTCACTCCTTCTTCTGTCCAGAATTCTCTTGACGTCTCTTCACCCATCTTGATCTCATTCCTTGTCTCCGTGTATATTTCTCTTGTCCTATTCACTAAACCTTTACTAATACCTGCCTTTCCCATCGTTTCCCATAGCTTTTCCCTGACTATTTTATCGAAGGCCGCCCTTAGATCTATGAAAAATGTGTACAGCTTTTCTTTCTTCTTCTTTGTTGCTTTCTCTATCACGTGCTATAATATGTATATGTTATCTATTGTCCCCCTTCCCTTTCTGAAACCTGCTGGGGTATCCGGCAGTATCTTTTTTGTTTCGATCTCTTTCTTGGTTCTGTCAGTTAGTGTCATTGCATATATTTTATATGCTGTACTGAGCAATCACACCTCTATAATTTTCTACCGCCTCCCTATCTCCTTTTTTTTATATATGGGTGAAATTATTCCTACTCTCGATTCCTCCAGCATCCCTTCTCCTTCCCAAACCTTTTTGACCAGCTCCTTCATTTTTTCGTCTCCCCTTTCATGTATTTCCATGCTTCACTTGGGATATTATCTTCCCCCGTTGCTTTTCCCTTCTTCACTTGCTTTTTTATCTCTTCTGTCCTAAGTCTTTGCTCACCTTCTGTCTCCTTTTCTTCTTTGTCTCCCCTTATCTGTTTCCTTTCCTTTTTGCTTTCCGATCCATTTAAAAGTTCCATAAAGTGCTTTTTCCATTCTTCAATTTTAATTTTTTCGCTGGCAACCAAAATTATATTGGAACAAATTAAATTCAATAAAACTAAAATTTTGCTAGTTACATACACTGTTTTTTACACTGGTCGTTAAATAATATTTATTTGCAACAAAATATTTATTTATAATATAAATCGTTTGGTAAAATAAGATATAAATAAAAAGAAAATCTACAATAAATTATATAAATAACATAATACAATATAATAATATAAATAATGAAAGAAATAGATTTAAAGAAGTAAAAAAATTATAAAAAGTAGAATTTAAATTACATGTTACAATTTTTGTTTGATTTTTAAAGGAAAATAATTAATAATAAAAAGAATTTTATTCGATCGATCCATTCGTGGTAAAGTTAGTTACGTGCACAGATCTGTGGAATAAAATATCCGTTCTGAGAGTTCTAGGAAGAATATTAACACTAAACATATGGGACAAAATATTTTATTTCTACGACATTATATTACAATATATAATTATACATTACAATATATACATTACTTTACAATATAAAGCGTTTTGTTTAAAAGGAAAAAAATTATTGTTTGTTTCGTTTTATAATATCATCTAATTATTTATAATATTTAAAATTTCTTATTAATGGTATTCATACTATTTTAATTATTATAAAATATTTATAAAAATAGAAACGGCGCTCACCAATGACCATCGTAACAGCCACGTGGTTAAGTTTCATAAATTTCAGAACATTGGAATAATCGATGTAATTATTTCAATTTCTGATTATGTTAGAATGAACAGAATAAGAAAATATTCATTTCCATTAAAAAGAAATAATTTCATAGAAAAATACATCATTGCTCAAGAATTTGATAATAAGTATTATATTTATTTCAAAACTAAAAAAATTAACTTTCGAATGTTGTCTTGTAAGATACAAAATAAAATAAAATTTTAGTAATAAATTTTAATAATCTAACATAAATTACTATAGTAATATTATATTTCTATAATATCGATGTCAAAAAGTGAGATTTTATTTTATATTTTATTTTATATTTTAAAAAATATAAGATTTTATCTATTGAAGATTTTATTTTATATTTTATATTCACCATATTAACTGAGACTATTAACAAAATTCACGCAAATGAAAGATTATAAAATTAAGTAATTTAACTTTAAAGATGAATAATAATATTTTATATAATAAAAAGTCTATAAAATATTAATAATTCTATTATGAAATACTCATACAATTAAAGGATTTGAATATTAAAAGTAGAAAATAAAGAATTAATATTAAACATAAATTAATATATTTTAATCAAATAAGAAATTAAATATATAAATTAAAAAATTGCATTTGTTTTTTAATATTTATTTTATAGCATAATAGTATATAATACTTTTTAAAAATAAATTAATATATTAAATTAGTAAAATAAAAAAATAAGAAGTCTCAAGACATTTAAGTAATAATTTATTCGCGGAAAAGATTATTTAATCGTAAAAATGTAGTGCTCGTTGAATAATTCATTTATTTTTTCTAATTCTTTTTTCTAACTTCAACAAAAAAAAAAAAAAAAAAAAATTTATTCAATGCACGTGACTCTATATTTTAATTGCGCAAAGATTCATTAGTAAATTCCACATAATTTGTAATTTCCTTATATAATAGACATATTGGAAGTAATGATTCCTCGTAACAAAAACTTATTAGATTCGAGTGAGATATCGATTCGTTAATTACACTATGTCTTCAGCATAAAAATGCTCTAATTCATCTAACATGAAATTGATATTTTCGAGTCCTTTTCAATTTGGTGGATTAAGTTATTATAAACGCATAATGTTTATACTCAAACGTTCGTAAATGTTCATATTCAAATATTTTCTTTTGTTTGTAACTTTTATTTTTAATTATTTATTATCTTTTTATTTTTAATTATTATAATATTATTTATTATAATATATATTGTTTATATTTAATATTATTATCAAAAATAATAATACAGTGGATTTTGGATTTTTGAATGGTTTGATATTCGAATAATTTGAAAATCAAATAGAATATTCAAGGAAATTCTGCTTTAAAACTTGAACAAATACAATATCCACGTATTCAATATCTGTGATTGATTACAATTTACGTATTTTTACGAATTTATTTATTATAAAGGGGTAATGTAAATAATCCTAAATTCTAAGCTAAAAATAATATTTATAACTGTAATTCTTTTATACTTCTTTATTTATGAAATTGATTAACACGGCTTTTTAACGATTCATAATATAAAATGCCAAGTTTTCGATTGACCTAAAAGTATTACAGTGAGAGTTTTAAAACAATATAAAATAATATCTTCAATTGTATCTAATAATATTATATTATAATATAGCAATTATAATATAATGATGTAGCAAAATCTATATACATATATATAGCTGTGTATCTATATATCCATATAATAGAGTTGAAATTAATCGTTTATGAACGTGGAAGTTCTACGACACTCAAAAATCAAACAAACACGTATTAGAGGTAACGAATGAAATATTATTCAACATTCCTTTTCATTTATTCAATTATCTAACAATTAGAGACACCGATTGCGACCAAATTGTCATTAAAATCAGTGTGAAAGCTATTTTTCTCTAATTTAAATATTACTATGAAATAAAATATTTTATACAAATAGACACTTCACATTTTTTAAATTGGGTAAATTTTTGTTTCTATGTTTCTAAAGTGAATTAATTCATTTTATATTATTTCTTATGGGAAAATTTAACTTGACAATCGAAGCGTTTTCTGAAACATATTGTGTTCAAGCGTTTTCTGAAACATATTGTGTTCACTGTATTTTTAAATTGCATATGTATTTTACAATATATAATAATTCATTTAGAATATTATTTAATTTCTCTAATCTTGAAAAAAGCGTAATACTTGTTTTAAGACTCTCAAGCGGGAGTGTATTAATATACAATTTAATAATTAATTTAATCTACTTGTATTTAATTCTTTTATATATTTATCTTCTGCTTGATGAACAAAGAGAAAAATATATTTTCTTAATTTCAGTTTAGTGTTTCAGATGGTAGAAGCTGAAGAAGAATACACAGAACAAATGGAAATATTAGTAAGCTGTTTCTTGAGGCCTTTTAAGATGGCTGCTAGTTCAAAGAAACCCCCTTGTAATCATGAGGACGTGAATAGCATATTTTTGAATAGCGAAACACTGTTATTCCTTCATCAGATCTTCCTGAAGGGTCTCACTTCTCGTATGGAGAACTGGCCCACTTTAGTTTTAGGTATGTTTTTTTTATTTTCATTCAACAATTTGATTATCGTTATATTCAGGTGATATTTTGGTACTTTTCACTAATTTTTTGATATATCACTTCAAAGTGTCATTTGTGTGATACTATGGATAAGATATACATAATTATTCGCTGAAGCATTCAAACACTTATGGGAATTTTTTTTTATATATTATGTAACATTGTGTACACTGATTTGATTATCATAATTATATTTGTAAATTCACTTAATATTATTTAAAAATTTCATTAATAGTGATCGTGATTATGCACATATATAATTCATTATTTTATTTATCATAATTATTATGATTATATATGTATGTGTATAAATACTATACAATGGCAGATAAAAAAATGTTTACAGTACATTTTGAGCATCAATAATTTATTAAATATTATATTCTTTATTACATTAGTAACTGTAATCTACTCTGAAAGTATATTTTTCAATTATTTATTGCTCTTGTAAAATATATTTCTATGTTCTAAAAATATGATATACCCTTTTACTACTTATTTTTTAAACTTTTCTTTGTCTGCCACTGTATTTTATAGAGATCCTGAAAATACATTGATATACGATTTTTTTCGCAGTTTTATTGAATTTGGAATATCAAACGAAAACAAATATACGATGAAAATTGTGCAATATTGTCGATAAATCGATTAATATTCAAAGTTCAATAAATTAGCAAAAAAAAGTCGTACATCACTATAAAGAGGACCTTCAATCCTCAAATGCATTGTAGATTTAATCGTGAAAAAAATTTTACACTCTGATAATTTATAATATTTTTAAAAGAAAAGAAGAAAAGAAAAAAAAAATGCATTCACAAAAACAACTTAAAATGAAATGAATGGTATATTTTGAAAGTAAAGATCAAACATTAAAATAAATTTAGTTTTATTGTTGTACGATTTTGTTTCGCGAGATTTTAACAATTTAAATATTTAGTATCCGAATATTTAAGTGTTCGAATGTGAATAATTATAGATACATACAATTTTCACGAAATAATGATGCTTTAGTGATTGTAAAATCGAATTATTAGCGATGATATCTTATTCATAATATATAAATGACATTGTAAAGCGAGATATCTCGCGATAATTTTGGTGTTGCGTAATTAAACTAATTGTGTCACAATTATATTGTTGAATGCAAGCCTCAGGGCCCTTATGCGTAGTATAATGTAGCGTATAATGTATTATTAGTAAAACGTACATTACTATTCTACATTAATAATAACGTAACTGAGATTATGTTAACTAAGAGATAATTTATCATAAAGTTATAGACATTTCAATTTTTTAATATTTCATAAAATAATAGAATGTAGATTACGACATAATGATGAGAAAATATTAAGTGAATTGGAATTTCCTGTTATAGATCTAACAGGTATTAAAAAATAGAATTTGGCAATTAAAATATTATGTTCATCTGATGTTGATGAAATTTAATATTATTAAGATGTTTTAATACAAGTTTGATATTTTGATACTATTAAAAAGAAATATTTTAATAAAAAGTTTTATTGATATTAATAAATTTAAAAAAATAATTTTTTTAATTTTATAACCAGTCTTGCAATAACTTCACTGTATATAAGAAATATTTCACTTCTAAATGTAATTGATTTTTGTCATTGAAGTCCTTCTTGTGGCCAACAGTACAATTGACATGATTGTACAGAAATATTAATTGCAATGTAAAATACAAAATCGAAAAGTTTATTATTAGAATATTATTATGATAATTAGACTGCAGATTTTGCAAATGTAAATTCATATTTTTGGAAATATAATTAAAAATATAAAACTTCGATATTGATTTACTTACATATTAAATATAGAAATTAAATACTAATTATTGAATTAAATATTATAATAATGTTATATTAAATATTATTGTAATAAAATGTATAAATTGCTAAATTAAATATTAAGTATTATGGAAAGCAATGTGTTTTGAATATTTTATATATTTTTTCATGTTACGTACATTCTATGCAAGTTTGTACATCTAAATTTTCACGTAAACACTTAAAAATCCGCAGTCTAATGATAACAAATGATATATAAAATGCAAGAATTTTGACGAAATACTTGATGATTTTAGGTGATTTGTTCGACATGTTACTACCAATGTTATCAATTTATCAAGAATACGTCAGAAACCATCATTACAGTCTTCAAGTATTGACTGAGTGCAAGCAGTCATCATCTGCGTTCGCTGCATTGCTTATTAGATCAGAAAACAAGATTGCTTGTGAAGGACGTTCACTAGAGACCTTTTTAACGTATCCTATGCATCAGGTATGTTATATCATATTCGTTTTAACTTGATATAATTCATTCATTTGACAGGTGTAAGGTGTAGTTATATCTTTTGTTTGTAGTAGTTATATTTTTTAAAATATATAATATTGATATATAACATATGTAGGTGTCTTGAGGATAAAATTTTATAAAAACAGTAGATTTAAAATACTCTGATGAGCGGATAAAAGAAAAATTCAATTTTAATCAAAAGTCATCGTTTACAAAAATATAATAGAACGATGAACATATGTCTGCTAACTGTCATGAACCAAAATCCAATATCTGATTTTATATTGCACTTTGAATATTTAAATATTAAAATTACTCCTCTATAAATCTGTGATGGTGGACAAGAAAAAAAAAGTTCAATTTCAGTCAAAAGTCATCATTTTTAAATATATAATACGATAAGATATATGTATGTTTTTAACTATCATGAACTAAAATTTGATATTAGATTTTATATTGCATTTCGAAACTAAATATTAAGTATTAAAATTACTTTATATTGCACTTCGAAATTAAATATTAAATATCAAATATTAAAATACAAAACTAACCCAATTTTGACTTACACCTATTTCTTTGGCCGTCAGAGATATATTTAAAAATATTATAAAAACAATTTGTTAGAATTCATTGAACTAGAATTAGGTAATAAATATCTCGAGAATGACGATTATAAAGAAACTTATAATTATGAATATAATATTTTGTTAGACACTGATGAAGAGATAGATAATAATATAGTACCGATGCTAATAATGAAACCGTAGATAATGATCCTCAACAGGATGTTAATAGACCACAACCGCGTCCGCGAGGAAGCAACATAAAATTGTTAGAGACGGACGGACGTAGTAATCTATGAAAGTCAGAAAGAATTAGAAATAGGAGGGAAGTTAATCGAAGAAAATAAAATTCCAAGCAACTATTATGAAGCAAAAGGAAGTAAAGACTGGAAAAAATGGAAAATGGCAATGAAACAAGAAATTGATTCATTCGAAAAATGTTCGGCATGGGTATTAGTTAGAAAACCTAATAATACAAAAATAATTAAAAGTGGGTATTAACAGAAGAAAGAAAATAACGATATAAAATACAAGGCACGATTAATAGCAGCTGGATACAATCAGATTAAATGCAGAGACTCTGAAGAATCTTATTCTCTCGTAGTTACCATTGAAGCATGGCGGTTATTGATGGCGTTAACCGTTAAATTAAATTGGGAATTCAGTTTCTTTCATGTCAAAACTGCATACTTACACGGCGACATTAAAGAGACCGTATATGTGTCTTTGCCACCTGGATTTGAACAAGTGTGTGGAAAGGAAAATGTGTTTAAATTAAAAAAGAGTATTTACGAAACTTCCACAATCCGGCTGTAACTGGTATATTAAATTGAGAAACACATTGATCGAATTAGGATTTAAACCGCTGGTATCGAAAAACTGTATATTTATTCGTTCAAAGGATTGTAATTTTACTGCATTGGCAATTTATGTTGACGACTTCACGATAGTATATAATAACAAAGAAGAATATCATGAAATATTATTACAACTAAAAGCAAAATTCGAAATAATTGAGACTACAAAATCTAATACTTTTCTTAATATTACGATTAAAAAACATGAGACGGGCATTAGTTTATCACAAACAGGATACAACGATAAATTGTTAACAAAGTATGGTATGAACGAATGCAATCCTGTTGGTACACCAATCATAGGAGAGGACAAAGCATTTGATACATCAAACGAAAAAATTGAAATAGAGTCATATCAAGAGACTATTGGTAAATTCCTATATATAGCAAATCGAACTAGACTGGACATTGCGTTCGTTGCATCATATTTATCACAATATAGTCACAAACTCGAAAAACGACACGAGTTAATAGCTAAAATAGTGTTAAGATACTTGCGCGGAACCAAATATAAAATGTTACATTACGATAAAAACCAAGGGCCTTTGAAAGCATACGCAGATGCAAGCTGGGGAAATGGCGAAAGAGCAAAGTCCTTCTCAGGGAGAGTTATCCAATTAGGCGACTCGTTAATTACATGGCGAAGTAGGGAACAAAAGAGCGTTGGCCTTTCAACATGTGCAGTAGAATTGTTTGCATGCTCCGAATTAGTAAAGGACATTACTTGGATTTCAAATATTTTGGTTGAATTGAATCTATAGTCTATTCCTCATAAACCGATAACTTTGTTTTGCGATAAATAAAGCCGCAATCGAATGGATGACGAACAGTCGTTCATCTAGTAAAACCAGGCATATTAATTTAAAAATTAATTTTGTACGAGATGAAATCGAAACAGGTCGACTTAGTATATATCATATAGAATCTAAATATATGTTAGCTAATTTCTTCACAAAAGATAAGTTGGAATGGACACTAAACCAAATTAGTTTGTTAGATATACGATTAGGAAGGTAACAGCAGTATCACTCGTAAGGGGGAGATTGTTGGATGGCACATAGCACCGGTTGCTACTCATTACTATGGATACGAGCGAAGACTGCTGGTTAGAGACACCGTGCGTGTGGCGCGTTTTTTTTTTTTTTTTTTGTCTCATCAGAAGTATTGCGAGGCCTATGGTGAGAAGCACGTGCGAAACATATATTGTAAACCACTTTGTTAATTCTGTTGTAAAATATAGAATATATTTTAAACTATTTATTTAAATCCTTTTGGTGAATTCATTAAAAACATTTAAAAGTAATATTTTGTTACGCGTTTGAAATGCTTGAATCCAACATTTGGCATTCAAGAGTTAATATTGAAGGTATGGATTAATATAATAATTTTATGCATTTTAACGTGCAACATTACACAGAATGTGTAAAATATGGAAATATAAAATGTATAAAATATATACCTATAAAATAAAATATATGAAACACATAAAATATATAAAATAATATAAAATACCTAAAATTTTTAAAATACCTATTATATGAAATAATTGGAGTTTTCTAATTTTATTTTCAAAAATATGATTTTGCGGATATAAAACATAAAAACATAATATGATTGCGCAGTTTAACTCATTAACACCCGCCATTTTATTATCCATAACATTTCTAGATGTTGTACTTTGAATTGTTTCTCCATTTATTAATGTACAACGTATAAAAGGTAATCGTTTTAAGTGAATATCAATTTTGCTCAAATTGCCTTGTAAATAAATCTATGCATATGCTTTTACTTTCATAACATTAGTTTTCTTATTTGGTTTTTAGTTTTTATTATTTATTATGAGGATAATACAAATAAGATTAGAATTGATATAATGAGTAATAAATAATCTACTACATAGCATTTAACTGATCTTGGTCGTGACGTCAGTACTTCCAACATTTATGAGCATAACAATCTTTCATTTATATTGGATATTTATATTGGATAATTTTGTTATTTTTCTTATCCTATAAATTTTGTTTTTGTGTTTTTACCATAAATATATAAATTCTATATTTTACAATTCAATCAATGCGAAACGCAATTTTTTGAAATAATGATGCGGCGTTTTTTTTTTACAACCATATATATGACATTTGATCATTTACGATGTTTATATATTCATACATGTTTATATATAATATGTTGTACATTTATTTACTTTATTAATAATGCAGTATTAGAGAGATTGATACAAACTGTTTAAAAAATTACAATCGCATAGTCTGCTTTTCAGTTTATGTTGTTAAAATAAGCTTTGAGTCTGCCTCTTGGAAAAATCGATTCGCAATTCTAGCTTTTATAACCTAAACTTCAAAAGTTTAAACGTTGAGCTGTAAAAACTAAAGTATTCAACGTTCGAATCTTTAAACTTGGATATTCGAATTACCTAAATTATACACAATGACGATTATAAATATCGTAGATTATCAAATGTCATGTATGTCGGTAGTTTATTATATGGTATATTATTCATAAAATGAAGCTTAAGAGTTTTGAAAGTTGTTGAATTGTAAGTCACAAAACTTGAATTAATTACAAAACTTAGATCTCCGAAAATTTAAGTTTCGTATGATGATCTTAAAAATTCAGTCTTTAAAGTTATTTCTCGAAGCTTGCGTTATTACTTTCAATTACAATATTATTACTTCTCGGAAAACATGTATAAACTCAAATGCGTTATTTTCAAGTATTCATTAAAGACTATCAATGAAAGTTTGCAAAAAAAAAAAAAAAAAAAAAAAAAAAAAAAAAAAAAAAAAAAAAAAAAGAAACGTCATCACAATAACGATTTGAGTTTTAATGGATATATTGCAATTCATTTGTAAAAAAACTAAATGAATTAGCCAACTTGTTAAAAATGGAAAAATAATCATAGAGGAAAGTTTTACACTATGTAACATTAAAATAACCAAATCTGAATATGATGAATTTTGCTTTTTCATAATTCTTTAAAAGACACGAGTATTTTTATCAAAATTGACTTCCATTGAAGAATTGACTTCCATTTATACAGGAACATAATTGTTGATATATTTATTTAGTTAATTAATTTAAATTATAATAATTTATACATAGAATATTTTAGTATCTATTATAAACTGATTATTCCAGTTAAGCACTAGTATCGTGTAGTACGATGTTTTACAAAAGTGTTGTACTTGTTGAAATTCTATGACTTTTTTCTTTTATTTATGTCACTCAGGATACGAAAGTGCTAGGATATAAAAAAAAAAAAATTGCGATGTAAAAGAAATTAATATTTCTTCATCTAAATACAGACTTAAATATTTACATTACTTTGAGTTTTACAGAAAAAATGTTCAGAACAAAGAGGCTGCATAATTTACAACATTAGTTCATGTCAGTTATATTCATTCATTGAGAACATAAAGAAGATTTTATTATAAAAATGTAGTAATAACAAATTAGTTTTCATTATTAGTTTTTAAAAATCGATATAAATTAAAAAAAATGTTTAAATCGTTTTTGTCGTCTAATTTATTTCTTATGTAAAGATATTGCATTGTACTCTTTCTTATTTTCGATAATTATTTTATTATTTCATTCAAATACTATACATTTTTATTGTAAATTATATTGAATAATGTTAAATTGGTCATGAAACAAACAGTGGAAAAAATAATTTTCTGAATGTGTTTTTTTCAGATTCCAAGATATATCATTACACTGCATGAACTATTGGCACACACACCCCACGATCATGTTGAACGGAAAAGTTTAGAAAACGCGAGGCAACAATTAGAATATTTATCGAGACAAATGCACGATGAGGTATTGATGATATATTTAATTATAATAGTTAATTAATTATTAAAAAATAGCTGCAACTCATTGATTCGCTAATAATTCGCTATTGTTTCGTTTCGTTAATCCTCTAATAATTAATTAATTGTCTAATAATAATTAATTAATTATTAACAAGGTATTTTTAATTATACTAATGCGTTTACATTATTTCAGGTGAGTGAAACGGAAAACTTACGAAAAAATTTAGCTGTAGAACGAATGATCGTAGAAGGCTGCGATATTTTACTCGATGTCAATCAAGTATTTGTCAGACAAGGTGAGTGATATTATTCAATCTTTCTGTGTATTTAATTTCTAAGACAGTGAATAACCATCAATAGGTTAAGAGAAGTTTTAGGTTGCAAATTAATTCCTGTTAATTACGTTGATCAATAATTTTCATGTACTTACGGATTATTATACATTTATCAGTTTGACCTCTTTATATCTACAGACCAAATATTTTATTACGTAAGATCGTTTATACAATGATTATACTGTAGACATATTTATCTATTCATCCTCTGTATACGAATATGGATGAATATGGATAAATGAATCAAGTAAATATAGTTTCAAAATAAATGAAAGCAATCGTACTATACGCATACTAGTTATGCGAGTAGAGATGTTCTGTAGTTGTCCAAAAACTACTAGGATTTACGGCGCTATGGGAATGCGACGGTTTTGGGACCATGTCGGTAAGATAGGGTAAAGATGGAAAAGGAAGCGTTTTGTCTCGGAGTCGCCATCAGACTCATTAGTGGGTACCTCGCTTGGTTGTTAAGGGCAGAGACTGAAAACCGAAATATTTTGAGGTTTAGGTATTATACCGGTAAACTGAAACCGAAATATTGTGAGATTTAGGTATTATACCGGTAAACTGAAACCGAAATATTGTGTATACCGGTATTTGGGAAATCGGTTTAAATATCGGTTTTAATACCGGTATGGTACCGCTTTCCTGACGAAAACACATTTTTCATTTTCTACGTACAGTGATTCTTATTAATATTCGGACATCATGCTATTCAAAATATTGTTGTGGATTTCGATTGTTTATAACAATCTGTAAATTTGGATTAATTTTTTAATAATATAATAGAACATTCGTTATAGTTTATAGTAACATAAATTTTATTTATTTATTGCACATTTTTCTGCTGTTGGAAAAACTCGGTTCCCATCTCGGACATCTCCCTAATTGGCCGAGTCGTTTTTGGATTTTAACCGATTAGGTTTTTTCATGAAATTGCGCCGCCTACTCCTTGCGTTCGTAACGCGCTTTTTCCGAGAGTGGGACTGCAATTTCGCGATTTTCCTCATTTATGGCGGTGTAGCAGGGTTTTCTCTCCAAGTGTTTTCCAAACGTAAGTCTGGATTGGCCCTTGGAAACTTAGGGTTTACGATGCTTCGCGGAAATACTATTGTGGCCGAATTACTAAAAACTTCGAGTGCAGATGTCTTTAAGAAATAAACTTGGCCTTCACAATTCAATAGCATAGGCAACATGTGAGTCGTAAATTCTCCTAACTGCATGTCTGAGAAAACAACTTTCTCCGACATCTGCTATCCGCTAATATAAATAAAATAAAATAAAAAAACTGATAAAAAAGCTAATAAAAATAAACAAAGTGTACGTGTATAAGCGTCGTCAAATTTACTATCGGCAGCTTTATGAAAACATTTAACCATTGTCTCCTTTTCCTTTTCTAATATATTAATATTTTATTTACCGGTATTATACCGCTATTATACCGAAACACATCTACCGACTTAACATCGTTATACCGGTATTCGCACTATTTCGGTTACATCAAACCGAAATCGAATAGTAACCTAAAAATACCGGTATTTTACCGGTATCCGTAATACCGATTCGGTTTCTGGTTAAGGGCCCCTTAAATGCCACTGGGCATAGGTTTGTTTGATTATTTATAAACCAGTTTATTGAGTATTATCTAAATTTATATTGAGGTACAGTTATCTTCAATAAAAGCGAGATTACAATTTATTTGCTTCTTAATGGTCTAGTTATTAGACATCTCTAGCATTGTATCACAACAATAATTTGCATTGTTATGTCTTCTCTATCGCGTACATTAATTTTGTCTTAATTCTATTAGTTGTACTATTACCTTTCCTTATTATATTATCTAACTTGTTATAATATTATATTATATTATAATATTATTATATTATCTTACTTGCACTATTACCTTACCTTATTATATTATCTAACTTGTTATAATGTTATATTATATTATATTATATTATATAATAATATTATATTATCTAATTTCAGAAAAAATAATATTGCATGAGCTTTGACAAGAATAAGAAAAAAACTGGAATTTATTATAAGCCTAAATCTAATATTTAACAGCGATATATTTAGAATAAATTTAAGAGTGATAACAAGTATGGAATAATCTTTACTCTCTCTCATTTTTTTTTACTTTTAATTTTTTTTTCTTTCATCAGTAATTCTTGATAACAGGGGACAGTGTCTAGATCTTCCAGGCTTTATCCTAACCATGGATATTTTAATCTGGATTTTGTTGCTTTGGCATTACAGTCGCAACTGGGAATGTCCGTGTTGAAGATTATTCATTTTGGATGAAACCATTCTTATCTAAGATTCTTATCTAGATCAGTGCTTCCGGCGGCATATATCCATTTTATCTAGCCTTATCTATGTATGCATCAGTTTGAATTGCGATTCCGTTGATTAATGAGTTATAACGGTTGATTATTGCTCTGTTGAAATGGTTTCTAATTGTTTTAAGCATAAATATATCTATGCGAGAGCATTTGTTACACACTTTGATGTTTCTTGGGTATCTAAATTGACCTTGTCGAGTGTTTGACGCTTTAAATGTCGCTGCTCTTAATATTTTTCTTCGCTCTGAATTTCTCTATTATGTGCGGGCTGGTGTTGTATCATGCGTTTGTTAGATTGAGCGAATACATACTAATAGTTTGACTTCTTTGCTTATATATATATATACTGCGAGTAAAATACTCCTTTGATTTTATTCCATATTATGGTAGCTTGTGCTAATGGTTTCACCGCTTGTTGGAAATTGTATTTTTGATTCAGGATTACTCCCAGATATTTCACCAAAGTTATGTGTTTCATGCGTTGTCTGTTGAGTTGTTTAGTTTGAAATTCTTCCATTTTGCATCTCTACTAAATCTGTCTATGTACCTTGCTTTTGAATAGTATGATCTCGCATTTGTTAAAGTTGATTTTTATTTTCCAATTTTTGCAGCCTCTTACAGGAAGTTTTGTAACTTGTCCCTTCTCACTAATACTTTTCTATAGTCATCATACATAATTAGATCATCTGCGTAAGCAAAGGCTTTGTAGCCTTGGTCCTCGTTTATTTTAAATAGAGTTAATATGTCTGAAAAGAATAAATTGAATAATATTGGAGAATTTATTGCGCCTTGTTGGAGACCGTTTTTAACCGAGAATGTTTTAGTGAAGATTTTTCCTTGTTCGACTCTAAATTTTCGACCAGAGATCATATTAAAAATCATATGGATTAATTGTTGCGGAAGTCCTTTCTTATGGAGTTTGTAGATTAATGCGTCCAAACGGTGTCGAAGCTTTTCTAAGTCTATTAAACATGCGACTAGGACTTAGTCGTCATTGAGATCCCAGCAGATGTCAGATGTTAATTTATTTACTATGTGTATCGTTAAGTGTTTTTTCCCTTTTGGATTTCTGAATCCAAATTGATTTTTTTCTCGTGAACCTTCAAAGTTGCTTACTCTGTTGTGTATTATTGATTCGAAACTTTTCTAAAGTTTAATAGAAGACTTATTGGTTTGTAGTTTGCTGGATCAGATTTTTCTTTTTCTTTTTTATGTAGTGCTACTTTTGCTGTATTTTCCATTTGTGAAATAGCTTAAATTTAAGTAGTTGTTGAATAATATCGTCATAGTCACTAAGAGTTTGCCTAGAATCTTTTTTAGTATGAAATTTGAAATGTCAAAACCTGCTAATTTTTTGTTATTTTCAATTCCTTGATATCGATGAAGTCAACGGCTGTGGACATTTTGTCAAATTTTGTTAGGTATTGTGACGTTTTATTGGTTAGTTCTTTCAATTTTTCGTTTACTTTTTCATCTAGAATCATCAGGTTTTTCGTATGTATTTCTTCAAAACTTGAATCGATTACTTTCAGTTTGTGATTTAAGGCTGTTATATGCAAGTTGTTATTTTCTACTTTTATCTTCTGCAGCGGAATGCCTGCTTCTCGGACAAATTCTGCTCGGTTAGAATTTTGAGATTTTCTATTTTTGATGATTCCTTTTTGTTATAGATATGATTTACTGTGAAATATAATTTGTTCAAGTTTTGTGTGTTTAAATTCTTTAATTTATTGTTCCATATCTTGTTTGATTGGGCTGTGTATACGGTTTTTAGTGCTTGATTTACTTCTTTTATTGTCTTTTTTATTGTTATAGTTCTCAGACAGTTTTCAGGAGTTGGCTGTCTGTTGCTTCTGTATATTTAATAAATAGACTTGTTACTAATTTGCTTTTTTGACTTGGTAGCCTTCTAATTTCTCTGTTCTGAAAGGAGTTCATGTAGTTTCTTTCATTTTTTCTTGGGGTATTTTTTTTAAATGCAGAATTTATGGATGTATTTACTGTATTTCGATGTACCTGTTTATTTTTGATTTGGTTAAATTTGTGTCTGCGAGAATCTTCAGTGACTTGTTCACCAAGTCCTTTTTGAAATTTGTCCAATCTGTGCGATGTAGGTTTGTGTTGGTTTGCCAATTATGTTCCGAATGTAATTCCTGTAGATTGCACCGTTTATGTACCATGATTGCGCCTATTGTCTAACAATCGCTGTTATATAGAAGTGTGTGTAGATAATTGGTTCATCAGTTCTTAAAATTCCATACATGTCTTCTTTGGTTTGCTAACATTATATCATATCCATTCAGCTAGGGCTACTTCTGCTCTATTGTTTTTTTTTTTGTTTCCCCAGAATGTTTTTGGTGTTTAGATCACCTGCTAGTATGTAATAAGTTTTTTTGTGCAGTTACAATTGGATAACAATTTTTTTTATTTCTATTGCTGACTCAGTACCTTTAGATTTTGGGCTATAAACTGAGATTATAGTGTGAAAGTACAGTGAGTTTAATGTGTTTATTTTTATTTTTATGGCTGAAGATTCTAATATTTTTGTGTCTATATTACCTAAACTGATTTCTGAGAATTATGAGTATTTCTGTGTCTCCTCCTAATATTACA